GCCCTTGTTCTTTTTATTTTGCACACGCTAGGCCCTTGTTCTTGCAATTTGCACATGCTAGACCCTTGTTCTTTTTATTTTGCACACGCTAGGCCCTGTCCGAACTTATAGCTTACTTGTTTCTGTAGGCTATAGTGGGGTATCCCATAGGGGGTACAACCCAATTAGGGTTTCCTATTTGTACTCACTTCATTCATAGTCATTCCATTCTCGTTCTTTGTTTCCACATGGAATCAGAGCAGGTTCCCTCCTAGGGACTGCTTCTAGGCCCACCGAACCGCGCCCCGAGGCGCGTTTTTTTTTAGCGGACCCGTCGTGTCGCCCCTAGCGGACCGTTGCGCCGCCCTTTCCCCTCGCGGCTCCGCCGCCCTTCCCTAGCGGCCCCGCCGCCCCTTCGATCGCGGCCCCGCCGCCCTCTGCTACGCGGCCCCGCCGCCGCCCTTCGATCGCGGCCCCGCCGCCCTCGGCTACGCGGCCCCGCCGCCCTCTGCCTCGCGGCCCCGCCGCCCTCTGCTACTGCGGCCCCGCCGCCCCTCTGCTACGCGGCCCCGCCGCCCCTCTGCTACGCGGCCCCGCCGCCCTCAGATCGCGGCCCCGCCGCCCTTTACCACGCGGACCCCGCCGCCCTCTGCTACGCGGCCCCGCCGCCCTCTGCTACGCGGCCCCGCCGCCCTTCGATCGTCGGCCCCCGCCGCCCTCTGCTACGCGGCCCCGCCGCCCTCTGCTACGCGGGCCCCGCCGCCCCCTGCTACGCGGCCCGCCGCTCTCTTCGGTCGCGGCCCCGCCGCCCTCTGCTACGCGGCCCCGCCGCCCTCTGCTACGCGGCCCCTCCGCACTCTGCTACGCGGCCCCGCCGATCCGCCCAGCAGCAGCCGCCGCCGCCTGAGCCGCCGCCGAGCCGCCGCCGAGCCGTCGCCGAGCCGCCGCCGAGCCGCCGCCCGAGCCGCCGCCCGAGCCGCCCGAGCCGCCGCCGAGCCGAGCCCATGACGCCCGAGCCCGCGCCGCGCCCAGCAGCAGCCGAGCCGCCGCCGAGCCGCCGCCGCCTGAGCCGCCGCCGAGCCGCCGCCGAGCCGCCGCCCGAGCCGCCGCCGAGCCGCCGCCCGAGCCGCCCGAGCCGCCCGCGCCGCCCGAGCCGCCTGCGGAGCCGTGCTGCTGTTCCTCTGCTGCTGACCTACCCGCCTCTCCCAGCCCGGTGAGATTTTCAGCTGCTGTCATGGCCACCCCCAATGTTCTTACCTTTGACGCTGAGGGGAGGGCCATTGACTTTGCCGTCTGGATTGAAGACCTGCAGCTGTACTTACTGTGTGATGCGATAGATGAGGTCTCTCTCTTTGACTTTGTCTCTGGCGCTGTCCCTGCCCCACCTGCTGATGCTGACTCTGCCGTTCGCTCCAAGTGGGCGACCCGCGATGCTGCTGCACGTCTTGCTGTGCGTCGCCACCATCCCTTCCTCTGAGCGTGCCCACTTTAGTCAGTGCAAGACCGCTCAGGCCTTGTACGACGCTGTAGTTGCACGCTACTCCTCCCCTTCCTCCGCTACCCTTAGCCGCCTCATGCTACCGTTTCTCTTCCCTGACCTCGCTTCCTTTCCCACTGTCGCTGACCTCGTTACCCACCTCCGTGCTAGTGACACCCGCTACCGCGCTGCCCTTCCTGCTGAGTTCCGCGCTGCGAACCCTCCTCCCATGTACATCACTCTCTACTTTCTCGTCACCCGTCTCCCTGAGTCCCTTCGTGTCGTTAGGGACCAGTTTCTCTCTGTCTGTCCCACCACTCTCACTGTCGACCTCCTTGAGGAGTCCCTGCTAGCGGCTGAGAAGAGTATTGTCGCTGTAGGGGCCTCTCGGGGTGACCCTCGCACCCCCTATCTTTGAGGGGTGTGGTCCTTCCCCCCTGCTGCCCTCTGTCGCCTCTGCCGCTGCGGCCGACCTCACTGGTTTTGAGTCGGTCGGCGCGGCGTCTGCCCCCAGCGGCAGACGCCGCGCTGGCAAGGGCAAGGGGGGCAAGGGAGCGGGTGGAGCTAGAGGGGGCGGTGGAGGAGGCGGTGGGGGTGGCGGGGGGAGTGGGGGTGGCGGTGGGGGTGGTGGCGGGAGTGGAGGTACTGGTGGCGGCGGTGGAGGCGGAGGTGGCGGCGGAGGTGGTAGCGGAGGAGGCGGTGGGAGCGGTGGGAGCGACGGTCCTGGTGGGGGAGGTGGAGGTGGAGACGGGGGGTGGCGGTGGAGGCGGGGGTGGCAGTGGAGGCGGGGGTCGGAGTGGCTCGTCCCAGCGGAGCAGCTCCGGGGGTGGTCAGCGCCAGCAGCAGCAGCAGCAGCAGCAGCCGCAGCAGCAGCCACAGCAGCAGCAGCGCTCTCGCACCGTCCCCGCCCCTCAGCAGCTCCGTGAGTGGTACTCGCAGCGTCAGCGTGGTGGTGCGCTTGGTCCTTGCCCCTACGTTCTCCGCACCGGTGACCGTGCAGGGGAGAGGTGTGGAGGCGCCCACACTGCCCGCCGCTGCTTTGGCCGCCTGACTGACGCCTGGCGTCAGCAGTTTTCCGGAGGCAGCTGAGATCCCCCGCTGGGGAGAGCTGTCTAGGGCTGGTGTAGCTATTTATGATCTTGATTTTGATGCTATTCTCTCTGCTATGTATGCTGCGATTGGTAGTGATGAGGATGACTGTTACCGGTGTTTCCCGCCCGACCCGGGCATTGGTACTGCCGCGTCAGGTACTAGTGAGGCTGCTGCTCTAGGTGCCAGTGCGTCTGTGCTCTCAGGTGCTGGTGAGTCTGCCCTCTCAGGTACTGTGTCGGCTTCGGCCTCTCACACCTTCACCCTTGACTCTGGAGCGTCTCGCTCCTTCTTTCGGGACCGCACCACTCTCACGCCGCTGAGTCGGCCGGTTGCGGTGTCCCTGGCTGACCCCTCTGGGGGGCCTGTCCTGTCTCGCTTCTCCACTGTCCTCCCGTGTCCGGCGGCCCCCTCTGGCACCCTGACTGGTCTCTTACCTCCCCTCGTTCTCGACGAACTTGGTGAGTGGTGCTGACCTCCAGGATGCGGGTGTCCACCAGTTCACCCCTGCTCGTCAGCGGGTGACCCACTGCACGGAGGCGGATACAGGTCGCCACCTGGCTACGTTTACACGTCGGCCAGGGTCGAGCCTGTACACTCTGACCACTGCTTCTCCTCCAGGTGCTGAGTCTGGTAGGGTCACTTCGTCTGGTCAGGTGTTTGCTGCAGCGTCCAGGTCTGGTCCTGAGTCTGCCCCCTGCTCGTGCCGTCGTCTGTCTCACGAGACCCTCCTCTGGCACCACCCGCCTTGGCCACCCCTCTCTGCTTCGGCTCAGAGGCATGGCCTCGCGAGTCCTTGTGTCTGGTCTTCCCCGGTCTCTCCCTCCCCTTCCTCCGGGCCCTGGCCCCACCTGTGTCCCCTGTGTCGAGGGGCGCCAGCGTGCTGCCCCTCACTCCTCCCAGTTTCCTCCGACAGAGGCCCCGTTGCAGACGCTTCACATGGATGTGTGGGGCCCAGCCCGCGTCCGTGGACAGGGTCAGGAGCGCTACTTCCTGCTGGTGGTTGACGACTACTCGCGTTACACCACAGTCTTCCCCTTGCGCAGCAAGGGTGAGGTCACTGCGGTGTTGATCGACTGGATCCGCGCAGCTCGTCTCCAGCTTCGGAGGAGCTTTGGCTCTGACTTCCCTGTTTTGCGTCTGCACTCGGACAGAGGCGGAGAGTTCTCCTCTGGCCTCCTGAGTGCCTACTGTCGTGCGCGAGGCATCCGTCAGACCTTCACGCTTCCGGACTCACCGCAGCAGAATGGGATTGCTGAGCGCCGCATTGGCATGGTCATGGACGTCGCTCGTACGTCCATGATGCATGCGGCTGCTCCCCATTTTCTGTGGCCGTTTGCGGTCAGGTACGCTGCGCACCAGATCAACCTCCACCCCAGGGTCTCTCGACCGGAGACCTCCCCAGCCCTGCTGTGGACGGGGAAGGTTGGCGATGCGTCGGCGTTCCGGGTCTGGGGATCTCGGGCGTTTGTTTCGCGACCTGTCTGCGGACAAGCTAGTCCCCTCGTGCTTCTCCCTGCGTCTTCCTGGGGTTCCCCCCCGACGCCCCTGGGTGGCAGTTTTACCACCCCACCTCTCGACGTGTTCTGTCCTCCCAGGACGTCACGTTCGACGAGTCGGTACCCTACTACCGCCTCTTCCCCTACCGCACTCCGTCCCTCCCCCCACCCCCGCTCTTCTTGGTACCGAGGTCCCCCCCGGTAGTCCCCCCTCCCCCCTCAGGGTCCTGCCCCTTCAGGTGTGTCCCAGGTAGACGCGGTCGAGCCTGTCGAGGTCACTGGTGACTCTGGTGCTGCTGCGGGAGCTGAGCCTGGGGGTGCGGAGTCTGGGGGTGCTGAGCCTGGAGGTGCCGAGTCTGGGGGTGCTGAGCCTGGGGGTGCTGAGCCTGGGGGTGCTGTGCCTGGGGGTGCTGAGTCTGGAGGTGCCGAGTCTGGGGGTGCTGTGCCTGGGGGTGCTGAGCCTGGGGGTGCTGAGCTGGGGTGCTGAGCCTGGGGGTGCTGAGCCTGGGGGTGCCGTGCCTGGGGGTGCTGTGTCTAGGGGTGCTGAGCCTGGAGGTGCTGTGCCTGGGGGTGCTTCGTCTCGCCGGGAGCCACTCTCCCCACAGGAGCTGCGTGAGTGGTTTGCCGGGCGCTGGAGGCGTGCTGCTGGTGCTGGTGGTTCTTCGGCTGCAGAGGGTACTGCTGCTGCGCGCCCCGCCGGCGCTCGTACTGTGGGTGCTGGAGCTGCTGAGTCTGAGAGTTCTCCTGGAGCTGGTCCTGCTGAGGGTGTTGGCGCTGAGCCTGCCGTTGGCGGCCCGACTGACAGTGCTCCTGGTGCTGCGGCTGGAGGTTCTGGAGCTTCTGGTGGTGCTGCTGGAGGTGCTGCTGGAGTGGGTGCTCCTGCCGGGGCTGCTGGTGCTGTTCCTGCTGTTTCTAGCGTCGCCGCGCGGCCCCGACCGTACTTCGTTCCGCTCCTGCAAGCAGGTTCTTGGTCTTACACCTCCTCCTCCTCCCTTAGAGGGTCCGCAGCCTGTCCGGTCACAGCCACAGCTACAGCCTGCCTCCCCTTTGCCTGCTCCTTCTCCCTACGCTGGTCCGACTGGAGGTCTTACTGAGCGTCGTGAGCCTGCGTCTCGTCCTGTGTCGCCTGTTCGTACTGAGCGCGCTAGTGGTCGCGGGTCGCGTCAGCGTCCTCCTCCTGTCCCTGGCACGCACCGGATGTCTCTGCGTCCGTCCACTGCTCCTCTGCGTGCCCCTTTGCCTTCTCCTCCTGCTTCCTCTCTTCCTGCTCTTGCCGACCCGGAGTCGGACGCTCTTCGTGCTGCCAGTCCTACTGTCACGCGTCTCCTGGCTACTGCTGTCACTGACCCCTCCTTCGAGTCGTCTGCTGCGTCTGCCCTTGTCACTGAGCTTGTCGACTTTGCTGCGCGCTGTCGTCTAGACTACGCTGCTCGTCTTGTCACTGAGTCTGAGTCCGCCTGTCCTCCGTCCGTCGGGGGTGAGTGTGCCCTTGGCACGGACGTCCTTGAGGACAGGCAGGAGGAGTTCCAGTGTCTGGCCGCCGCTTCACCTCGTCTCGCGTCTGTACTGCTAGCCCCTGAGGGAGACCCGGATGCACCAGACATCCCGACTCCGCGCTCTTACGCGGAGGCGATAGAGGGTCCCTACTCCTCTCAGTGGCAGGCAGCTATGGATGCAGAGATGGCTTCCTGGAAGTCCACAGGCACCTACGTTGACGCTGTTCCCCCTCCTGGGGCGAACATCGTCAGTGGCATGTGGATTTTCAGGGTGAAGCGGCCGCCGGGTTCTCCGCCTGTCTTCAAGGCGCGTTACGTGGCTCGTGGCTTCAGTCAGCGGCAGGGGGTTGACTACTTTCAGACCTTCTCCCCCACCCCGAAGATGACCACTCTTCGGGTTCTGCTACACGTTGCTGCTCACCGTGACTACGAGCTGCACTCTCTCGACTTCAGCACAGCTTTCTTGCAGGGCAGCCTGCACGAGGAGATCTGGCTGCGTCGCCCACCTGGCTTCACTGGGTCTTTCCCTCCTGGTACCCAGTGGAGTCTCCGGCGTCCAGTCTACGGTCTCCGCCAGGCGCCACGTGAGTGGCACGACACACTGAGGACTACGCTCGCGGCACTTGGGTTTGCTCCTTCCACTGCCGACCCGTCGCTGTTTCTGCGCACCGACACCTCTCTGCCGCCGTTCTACATCCTCGTGTACGTCGACGACTTGGTCTTTGCCACAGCTGACACTGCTGGACTCGCCTACGTGAAGTCCGAGCTGCAGAAGAGACACACGTGCACTGACCTGGGTGAACTGCGCAGCTACCTTGGCTTGCAGATCACCCGGGACAGAGCACGCCGCACCATTACCCTGACTCAGTCACACATGGTGCAGCAGGTCCTTCAGCGCTTCGGCTTCACGTACTCCTCGCCTCAGGCCACTCCTCTGCCTACTCGCCACTCGCTCTCAGCTCTGCCTTCGGATGAGTCCGTAGAGTCGAGTGGCCCGTTTGCAGAGCTTGTTGGCTGCCTCATGTACCTGATGACCTGCACACGACCTGACCTCGCATACCCTCTTAGCATTCTCGCACGCTTTGTTGCTCCTGGGAGACACCGACCAGAGCACATGGCTGCAGCGAAGAGGGTGTTGCGCTACTTGTGCAGTACGTCGGGCATGGGGCTAGTGCTTGGAGGGCGCAGTCCAGTGGTCCTCACTGGGCACGCAGACGCTTCTTGGGCTGACGACCAGGCTACGCAGCGGTCGTCACAGGGTTACACCTTCAGCCTTGGTTCCGGCTCTGTCTCGTGGCGGGCTACCCGCTCGTCTTCTGTTCTCGGCTCCAGTTGTGAGGCTGAGATCTACGCTGGGGCTATGGCTGCACAGGAGTTACGCTGGCTCACCTACCTGCTGACCGACCTTGGAGAGCAGCCTCGTTCTCCTCCAGTCCTGTACGTAGACAACAAGGCCATGCTGGCCTTGTGTCGAGAGCAGCGACTGGAGCACAGAACGAAGCACATTGCTCTTCGCTACTTTCTTGCTCGTGAGCTACAGCAGCGTGGACAGCTGCGACTTGCGTACGTGGCCTCTGAGGCCAACACTGCTGATGTCTTCACCAAGGCACTTGCGCCTTGTGATCATCAGCGTTGCTGCACGCAGTTGGGTCTTGTGCCTGTCTTGCCTCACTTGCTCTCCTCTTGACCTTGCTTGTACTTTCGCATATATATACTCTTGTTCTTGTATATCTCTATATATGATCTTGCATGTGAACTGGCCTTGTGGCCTTTGAACTTGTGCTCGGAATGCGTGGTGACTTTGTGATCCACCCTGAGCTTTGCTTTGCTTTGCTTGACTGGTCTTGTGACCCCTTGTTCTCCCCCACTTTGCCTATGGGGGTGTGTCAGAACTTATAGCTTACTTGTTTCTGTAGGCTATAGTGGGGTATCCCATAGGGGGTACAACCCAATTAGGGTTTCCTATTTGTACTCACTTCGTTCATAGTCATTCATTCTCGTTTCTTTGTTTCACAGCTAGCCCTTGTTCTTTTTATTTTGCACACGCTAGGCCCTTGTTCTTGCTATTTTGCACACGCTAGGCCCTTGTTCTTTTTATTTTGCACACGCTAGGCCCTTGTTCTTGCTATTTTGCACACGCTAGGCCCTTGTTCTTGCAATTTTGCACACGCTAGGCCCTTGTTCTTGCAATTTTGCACACGCTAGGCCCTTGTTCTTGCAATTTTGCACACGCTAGGCCCTTGTTCTTATAATTTTGCACACGCTAGGCCCTTGTTCTTGCTATTTTGCACACGCTAGCCCTTGTTCTTTTTATTTTGCACACGCTAGGCCCTTGTTCTTGCAATTTTGCACATGCTAGACCCTTGTTCTTTTTATTTTGCACACGCTAGGCCCTTGTTCTTGCTATTTCGCAACGCTAGGCCCTTGTTCTTGATTTTTTGCACACGCTAGGCCCTTGTTCTTGCTATTTTGCACTCGCTAGGCCCTTGTTCTTGCAATTTTGCACACGCTAGGCCCTTGTTCTTGCAATTTTGCACACGCTAGGCCCTTGTTCTTTTTATTTTGCACACGCTAGGCCCTTGTTCTTTTTATTTTGCACACGCTAGGCCCTTGTTCTTGCTATTTTGCACACGCTATGCCCTTGTTCTTTTTATTTTGCACACGCTAGGCCCTTGTTCTTTGCAATTTTGCACACGCTAGGCCTTGTTCTTTTATTTTGCACACGCTAGGCCCTTGTTCTTTTTTTTGCACACGCTAGGCCCTTGTTCTTGATTTTTTTGCACACGCTATGCCCTTGCTCTTGCAATTTTGCACACGCTAGGCCCTGTTCTTGCAATTTGCACTGCTAGGCCACTTGTTCTTGCAAATTTTGCACACGCTAGGCCCTTGTTCTTGCAATTTTGCACACGCTAGGCCCTTGTTCTTTTTATTTTGCACACGCTAGGCCTTGTTCTTGCAATTTTGCACACGCTATGCCCTTGTTCTTTTTATTTTGCACACGCTAGGCCTTGTTCTTGCAATTTTGCACATGCTAGACCCTTGTTCTTTTATTTTGCACACGCTAGGCCCTGGCTCTTGCTATTTCGGGAACGCTAGGCCCTTATTCTTGATTTTTGCACACGCTAGGCCTTTGCTCTTGCTATTTTGCACTCGCTAGGCCCTTGTTCTTGCAATTTTGCACACGCTAGGCCCTTGTTCTTGCTATTTTGCACACGCTATGCC